GCAGCAGCAGAAAGCATTTTCGAATGTTTGAATGAATCAAAGTGGGTCGTCACCGTCGATTTTCTCTTATGCTCCAACACACAGTTGCACGGGGTGCAGAATAGTTTCCCCCCACTTTTTGCCCGGTCTTTAGTAGAAATGTTCGTCAGTAAATGAGATGGATTAGATTTTTTCATCTTGGTGTTTTCTCTATCGTGTGAGCTCCACACGTTCACTCTATACAGTGTTGTTTACATTCTGTGATGCGCGAGCTGATGACGTCGCGTCAAGACGAGTCAACTTTTTTTTTCCTCAACTTTGTGTGGAAAAATGCGGGGATTATGCGGCCTTTTGATAAATATGCGGCCTTTTAAAAATCTGCGCCATTTTGCTGATTATGCGGTAAATTCTGCGATCGCAGAATCGCGTTTTTCTGGAGGGTCTATATTTTATGTAGTATTAAATCCTCAAAATCTCCTGAGCTCGCGTTGACCTCCAGTCCTTTTTTCAGTTATCTAACAAAAAAAAAAACATCCATAAAAACACTGAATAGGCGATGACGGTATTCTGAAGTGCTACAAAGCGAACTCATTCCCAGGCTTAGGACTCATTCCTGCGCCTCTCTATTGACTGTAACATTTCTGAAGATTTGAACCTCTTCCTTTCTTTTGTCTCAACAGGAACAAGATGCTGATCTTCGGTCTGTTTTTCGAGACGTCTCTGGCTGCCTTCCTCTCCTACTGCCCTGGGATGGACATTGCCTTGCGCATGTACCCCCTGAAGTACGCTCTGCATATGCATATCTCCACCGAACCGAAAAATAACCTCTTAACGACCTAATAGTCTGCCATTAGCCTGTCACTCTAGCCTTTAAATGAAGTCTCTGAACGTCTTAAACGCCACGTTGTTATCCATGATATTCAAAAATGGCTGCGATGAATTGAACAATTTGCATTCTTCCCGTGACTCACTGCTACCCTATCTCTCCCTGCCCCTTTTTTACTCTTTCTCTCCTCCTATCAGGCCCCTGTGGTGGTTCTGTGCCTTCCCATACAGTCTTCTCATCTTCATTTATGATGAGGTCCGTAAATTAATTCTGAGGAGGAGCCCCGGAGGTAAGCAGTTATTAAGAGAAACTGAGATTAAAAGGTTTCAACCTTCTTTGTCTTGTTAATAAGCTGAAAGAAACATTGGTGATTGACACAACTATCTCAGGAACCACATGTGCCATTTTCCATCAAGACCTCTGTCTGTCTGTCAGCTCTCCTACTGTCTGCTAAAAATACACATCCTTAAAGAGTAGGCTGTCCACTCCCATAAGGACACACCGATTGACAAAGTGGCTCCAGCTCTCCTCTGTTAATCTGACCTGAAGGATCCCAGCAGCATCTGACGGACAGTGACACGTAGCCGAATATCAAGTTCAATGTCAGTCTGAAAAAATATATAAAAACAACATCTGACTGTTTTGAGATAAAAAGGGAAAGTACAGGCACCAATTTCACTAAACAATATTGGTAGCAATGATGGATGATTCACAAAAGATGTAAGCTTATATTTTTGAGTTGCGATAAAGATATGGGTTTTCAACATTGTTGCCGCTATAACAAAAAATCACAAATTATTATTATTATTTTTTTTTATGATTGTATATTTTAATTGTTATGATCATGTATTAATTAAGCAATAGCTCACGACAGGCCGTGGTATATGCTCATTATATCACAGCTAAGGGGCGTGGTTCGGCCCGACGCGAAGCTCAGTATATCACGGCTAAGAACCAATCAGATTGCTTGATTTGACTTGTCCGTTTTATAAACAGATATATATATATACTGTATATCAAATATAATTATTAAGTGCTTGACCTAAAATACAAAAATATATATGAACTATGAAATGAACAAAAATCCCTTGTAAAATAAAGGTCCTTTTTTGTTGTTGGACAAAGTACATGGTGCAAATATAGCAACGTACATACCATAGTGTAGCTGTCAGATTATAAAATTGTCATTGTAATTTT